CTTGACGAAGGCCGACATCACTCGGGGCAATGGAGCCCTCCTTCACTTGTTGAGAAGTGGAACCTTGAAGATTGACGAGATGGATGCCGAGCTGGAAAGACGACAGATGCCAGAGGGACGTCGCAGGGGCAAAGCCGCCACTAGCAAGCTTCTTCGCGAAGAAGAAGAAGAGGAGGGCAAGGCATTCCTCCTCTCCTTGTTTTCTCACGTTGCTGCTGTCAACAGAAATTTTGGGGAACTGTTGAACTTAGACCCCACCTATAAACCTCCAAGCGTGTGATGCTTGTGCTTTTGACAGTCTTGACAGCAGACGTGCCGGTGAACACTTCCTCTCGAGACTGGGCGTTCCCTGCCCCACAGTAGCCGTTGCGAGCGCTGGAAAATAGTGGCGGCCGTGCAAGATCACAGACCACTGACACTGCAGTGTCACCTAAACCCCTAAACCCTAAACCCCTAAACCCCTAAACCCCTTAAGCCTAAACCCCTACACCCTAAACCCTAAAAAGAGTTTGTTGAAACGCTCAGGATTGCTCCCGGCGCCGAGCTCGTGGTCTCAGATACCGCAGGCCCCATGCAGTGTGGTATGTCCTCAAAAAGTCCTTAAAGAACTGGGTTTAGGGTTTTAGGGTTTAGGGTTTAGGGTTGGAGAACTGGGTTTAGGGTTTTAGGGTTTAGGGTTTGGGGTTAATAAGTTAAGGACGGCTTTCTCTACCTATATTATTTTTTCGGGGCCCCAACACCTTTTCCAATTATAAAGGCCCCGATATTACAGGTTCCCACGCGGCCCCGAAGACGATTCTGAATCGAGCCAGATCGCCGCAAGCCTTAACGAAGGCGAGACAACAAAGATTGTCAGATCAAGGAAGCTGAGGGACAACGCCCTAAAGAAGAGGTTGGTCTCTTGTAAACAGTTTGTTGCGGTATATTCTTAGAGGAGTCTTTTTGTATATGGTATCGTAGTAGCCTGTAGTATGTTATGGTACATTAGAAGGTTGCCCTTTTTCCCAACTGTTTCGGGGGTCCAGGGTTCGGTGATCGAGACCCTTTTGTTGGTGGTCAGGTGTGTTTCTACTTATGACTCCGCAACATATCCCAGGTATGCCTGACAGCTGAATCACAGCTAGAATCCCGAACCCTCCATTCATAAAGCTTTGAATACGACAAACCCTAAACCCTAAACCGCATAGACTTCTTCAGCGCCGCTTCTGCCAGGTCTTTCGCTAGAGACGCGGGCGATCCACGTCCAAGGCCAGCTTTGCAGGTAGCCTTTGGCTCAGAATCCGGAAGCCAAGATCCCAAGACAAACCAGGGCCGAAAAGAAAGGGCAGAAAAGGTTAGGGTATAGGGTTTAGGGTATAAGCCCTTAAGGTTTAGGGTACAGGGTTTAGGGTATAAGCCCTTAAGGTTTAGGGTATAGGGTTTAGGGTATAAGCCCTTAAGGCTTAGGGTATAGGGTTTAGGATATAAGCCCTCTACAGGGTTTAGTTAGGGCTTTAGGATCTTGGCGGTTGGAGTCTGGGGGTCGCGGTTCAACCGCTCTGCCCCCAAACTCCAAACGCAGAAGACAAGGAACGCACGGTTTAGGGTTTAGGGTTTAGGGTTTAGGGTTTAGGGATCATGAGGCATGTTTTATCAATCCCTGACCCCCCAGGTACCTACTATATAGGGCCCTAGGTGCTCCAGTACCCTATATAGTAGGTACCTGGTAGGTTAGGGTTAATGTTCCGGAAGTTGGCGGGTTCTTCTCGAACTCCGTAGGCCTTCGCGGTCAGGATTAAGTAAGCCCTTGAGCATCAGAAAACTAACATAAGCAAAGTACGTAGAAGGGCAGCTAAGTAGCAGGAGAGTGAATGTCGCAAATATTCACACAGGTCGCATACAGCGTCGTAGCTGTTCGTTGTATTATAGGTTGTATTATTAGTATTTCGTAGTAACCATATAAGTATTCGGAGTCGTATTTTATGCCGCAGCAGCAGCAGCAACAAGCCAGTACCTGTAACACAGTGTCGCAAGCCTCACGGAAGGAACTCTTCGCATGGGTTCCGCCAGCTGCCCACTGCCGCTGGGCTTGTAATTAACCCTAAGGGTCCAAGTAGTCCTTGTTTATGGGTTTTAGGTACCCATAAAGGCCCCACAGTCCTTAAATAATGGGTGCTTGGACCCTTAGGGTAAGGGTTTCGTATCTCGGAGTCAAGAGGTGAAGCGAAGGCTGGAAGGTAGGATTCCGCATCCTCTCTATAAGGACTCTTATGTGGGCTTTTTCTGAGCCCTCCGTAGTTTGCTTTTCGGATTCGGTTGTCAAGGCCCTTCACTCTGGCTGCCCTGGCCTCAAACGCTACCAACATGTGTAGGTCCTCCAACCGAAAACGCTTCTCTGAGGTCCCCTAAACCCTTAACCTTGAACCCTAAACCCTACATCTTTCCTTGAATTAGAGATTCCAACCGGCCTTCTCCTTAGGCTTGCTTCTTCGCTCTTCGTGTAGTACAACAAATGCACCATGCGTTTACTACTATCCCCAACCCTCCAGGTACCTACTATATAGAGGGTACTAGTGTCCCTAGGGCCCTACATAGTAGGTGCTTGGAGGGTTAGGGTATGGCTTATGGATTAGCGCCTTAATGATAGCGAAAGGTGATGTGCTCTTCAGGGCTCTCCGAAAGTGGCCCTAATTTGCAGAAACCCTGTGATAGTGCTTCATGAGGCAGAGTGTTTTTTGGTTCAGGACGGTTTCCGCGGAGTCCGTGACCCCGGCTCATAAGCCACATCATCCCCCCTATAGTTCCCGTGTACTTCCAGGCATTCTTGTCTGCTCCGAAGCCCTATATACCCTAAACCCTAACCCGAAACCCTAAAAAGAACAAACGCCCTTTAAAGGATCCTTTCGTCAGAGTTCGCCTTACAAGGCCTGTTCCAAGTAGCCAGTCTTCCAGATCACAGCTTATCATAGCTTTTCGCTTGACAGCACCCGAAATCCTAAGAAGATTGGATCCTTTCAGGTTTCTAAGGTTAGGGTTTAGGGTTCATAGGGTTTAGGGTTTAGGGTTTAGGGTTTGGTTCTTTGAAGAGTTTTATCCACCCAAAGCTCTCGACAAGGATTGCCGGTGGCATCACAGTGACCTTTACCGGCTCCGGCGATCGGGGCTCCAGGCCACTGCTGGGTAAAGGATTCCGTTTAATATAGGGGCCTTAATAGTTAGACGAGGGTTTGGGGTATAATATACTGGAATTATTTATAATAAGGAACCCCCAAAACCCTATTCCAATTATTAAGGCCCCTATATTGGGGGTTTAGGGTTTGGGGTTCCTTTACGGACTCTCCTTCAAGGGACTAGCGAGACTCCCCATGACGAACTCAACATGCAACCTGCAGACGGCCCATCGTAGACTACTGTCCGTCCTTGTAAGAGGTGGACATGTGGGGTTCCAGCTTGGTTTCAAGGCATGCCCACTGTTGCAAGCCTTCTTGCTTTCGGCAAGCACCCGTCTCGTGACCTGAGAAACCCTAAACCCTAAACCCTAAACCCTAAACCCTAAACCCTAAACCCTCCTTCGGCGGGCGCTGTTCGAGACATCTGCTGGGGCAAATGCCCAGGCCTCTTCGTAGCCGGTGAACCCCAAAACTCTAAGCCCCAAGCCACAGAAACGTCGCAAAACCCTAATTCCTAAACAGATATAACCCTTTGCAGGTCCCTTCTAGAGCCCGAACTTAACCCCTTACCCATAGGCCCCATAGTAGTTCCTTTTTGGGGGTTACCTTATAGGATTCTATATATGAACCCCAAAAAGGAACTACTTTAGGGCCTATGGGGTATAGAGAGCCGCAAGTTCCACAAAACCCCCGGGCGGCCGCTGATGGCCCGCGAGCTGACGGCCAAGCAGCTCACAGCAGCACTCCGCCGTTCCACGGCCAAGGACACGAGCCCTTCGTAAAGCTTCCGTTTTTGGGGGACCCATTAAGGGATTCTTTAAGGGTTCCTTTTAAGGGATCCTTTTAAGGGATCCTTCACAGGATCCTATTAGGTTCCTTGTATGTGTGGGGTCTTTTCTATTGGGGTACTGTAGGGTTCCTTTAAAGGCTACCGTAGGGTTTTTCTTCCATAGGGTCCCTTACAAGGCATCCTTTAAGGATCTTAGGCCTAGGCTCCCGTAAGCGCTCCGAGGTAGGGACCTCTTTTAAGGTTTCATTTTCTGTAATGGTCTATAGTCTATAAGGGGTCGTTAGGGGTCCCTTGCAGTTCTTTATGAAGGATTTAGGGATAGGTTTAGTACGGATTAAAATCAGAAGGAGCCCAGCTACCTGTTTAGGGATGCTTAAATGAGGGGTACCTTGCCCAAGAGGTCCCTGCAATAAGTTTTTTTATGACGACCGTCTAAAAAGCTTAAGGGCCCTTCTTGTCCTTCCATGAATCAATTTCCGGCAGGTTGGTTCTAGGACATTTTCAGGTGGGTAGTTACCGTTATAGGAGCCTTATGGAAGGTTTATATACCTTGTAGAAGCTCCTTATAGAAGCCCTAAACACCCCACCTGTAGTTTCCGTTAATTGGTCTCTTCTTTCTATGAGGAACCCTAGGAAAAACGACTGAGAACCCGGGCCGTCTGATGGGTTACTTCGAGCTCGTTACGGGGACGCCCAGTAAACCCCAACAAGCACAACCACGCCCTAAGGGTCCATGTACCCAAGTAGTATATACTTTGGCCTTAATGTAGTCCCTATATAGGTACTTTAGGGCCAATGTATATACTATTTGGGTACATGGACCCTTAGGGACGGACCTTCATTTAGATTTGCAGTGCGACAAAGGACAAGCGTAAGACCTTGATATCGACTTATTGGGGGGGACAATTCATTCATCCCGGAGGACAATTACCACAGCACGGGCACCTTCATGCCCATAAATGATATTAATGAAGGATCTCGCGCATCTCAGCTTCCAGCATGGCGATCGAATGGATCGCTTGCACCTGGTAACCTTGCTCCACCGCTGTGGCGCCTTACGGCTGCCCCGACCAAGCGACGAGGTGCAGCCCTGGATTCAAACTGCTCTTCGAAGGTTGTCAGCACCCCCGTGACTTGCTTCTTCAGCAGTACCCTTGTTGTTACCGTTTTGTACCTGTGTTTTTAGGAGGGGGGGGCTTTTTTTTTGCAAAAGGACTCCTTTTTATGTCATCCACTGACTACTGGGAATCCAGGTCGTCGGCCAGAGAGGCGGCGAGTGTACTTTGGGCGCTGGCAAGGTTTGGGCCCCAACGGCTGGGAAAAACTTGGATCGTGGTAGTATAAATCGATAAGTCCATAAATCCCTAAACCCTAAACCCTGAACCCTGAACCCTAAACCCTCAACCCTGAACCCTAAACCCTATAAATCCCATGTAGCCTCGCCGGCATCAAGAAGCCCCCCAAAGCCTTCAAAATGGCTGGGAGCTTGGAGCCCCCTGCAGGTCGCAGCTACCGGCCAGGCTTTCGAGCGCCTCCCGGCTGGTAACGCGCACCCGCGAGGCCTTGCCGCAACTGCTCATCCAGGGAGACTCACCTCTGGAGAGTGTATATTTTGCACAGGTAATAGCTATTTTGGGGCTCCTTATTATAATTATAGTACGTAGAATATACCGAAAGTCGCTGTGTTTTCTGGATCTGTTATGCCATAGCAGCTATAGCAACCGTTCTTAAAGAACTGAGGAAATGCTCAGGAGCTGTCGAATCTGGCATGGGCTCTCGCGACCCTGGCGTGTCCAGAGCCCAGTGAGGCCCCTCTGCCGCCGAAGGCTAAGGGACAGTCGCAGGGACCCCTAGGAGGGTTTAGGGTTTAGGGTTTAGGGTTTAGGGTTTAGGACCCCTAGGAGGGTTTAGGGTTTAGGGTACCCTCAACCCTGATCCAAATAGCTATAATATAACCCTTATGTACCCTTTTCTAACCCCCCCAAAGGGTCCCTTTGAGGGTCCTTCCCTTAGTCCCCTTGATGAAGGCTGCATCCCTCTGGGCTCAGCTAGGCGACTGCTGTGCAGCAAGCGTGGAGGAGCCGCAAGGACGTAGCCGCCCTGAACCAGCATGGGGCCTCTACACTTAGGAGCCCAGTAGGTAAACTTTAAACTTTTTGGTATATTAAACCCCCTACTAAAAGAAAANNNGGCCAGGGTACTGGGCTTCAAGGTACATCTTATACCATGAAACACGAAACCAGAAGCCATGCATGTTATACTAGAACCCCCATAGGGGCGATGAGCCACAAGCCCTATGAGCCTTGTAGGATGCGAGCCCTAAACCCTTTTAAGAGCTCATGAATTTGGACCCTAGAGGAGATGACCAGTCAGCATTTGGCCAACGTGTCCTGGGCCCACGGATCCTTGGTGGAGTAATATAGGGGCCTCAATAATTTCAACAGGATGTTGGGCCGGGGTATGTTATAGTGTAAGTATAATAAACAGCCCTTCAAATAATATTGGTAACTATAGAGGCCCCTAAAGCAGGTAACCTTTGACCTTTTTCGGCGAAGCTCGTCTCACGCCGGGGACGCGGCTTATCTCGCGCCATGCCTTAACCTTACAGTTCACAATCCTGTTAGTTATATATGTATATATATATACATAGTAGTCCCCATATACTCCCAGTAGACCCACGATGTAAATCCCTGTGTACATAATCCCCGTATACTCCCAATAGACCCTCGTTGTAACCCCGAAGAAGCTGGACAAGCCGAAGGATCCCTGAAGAAGCTGGACCTAAACCCCTGAACCCTAAACCCTAAAACCCTAAACCCTATAAACCCTAAACCCTGTAAGCCCTAAACCCCTAAACGCTAAACCTTAAAACCCTAAACCCTGAGCCCTCTACTCCTTGAATCCTCCTGAG